ACTTGAAGAAAACCTTGTTGGGTGACAGCAGGTGGCATGGTGGTTAAAGGTGCTAGTGACTGTGGTTCAAGTCCTGGACCTGGCGGCTTGCTTTTTTTGCCTCTTTCTATCTTTCTCTGGTCTTATTGGAAACTAATGATAATTAATAAAGTTAAATAAAACACTTAAAAATAAAAAGAAAACCTTGTCATTATAGCATAACATAGGAGACCAGATTTTGGTTTCTATTAGTAAACTTTTTGCTAGATGTTTATAAAACCTTAAAATAATTTTGCCAAAGTTTAGCTAACTCGATCACGTATGAAATTCCTTTTGTAAAATTACCTTTCTAATAATTGCAGCTTCCTCTCAGACCCTCTCCAGTCTCCTCAAGGCTTTGTGACTTGGTTAGTTAAGCCTTTGATTTGACCCCTTTTTCTTCTTCCTAGTCTGTAATCAGTCGTTTCACTTTAGAACAAAAACTTTAACCATGCAAAAAAATTGCTTCTGCTGTGTTTGTATAGTTCACAGTGCTTATATTGGTGGGAATTTACATCCACATCTGATGATATGTGTCAGAGTTTGTGACTTTATATAAATAAGCGCGGCTCCAGAATCTCTGAAAAAATTCATGGAAAAGTATGAGCAAGACTCAGTAAAGGCTCGGTATTTTCTTTGAATGCTGTTTCATAATGGGAAGTGCTAACCGTCCTCGCCGTCACAAGGCAGGTGTCGTTTTGCGGTTATCACACGTGGAGGAGGCAGTGGAGAACCCTCTTCAGTTTCTCTCAGACAGGCTCAGGCTTCTCCTGTCCTGGAAGTCTGCTTGGTTTCTGGACTGCTGGGCTCTTACGTCAGCAGTAAGGTCTCAGGGAGGCAGAGGCTTAGGGAATCTTCCTGCCTTCCGCCCTCTCCACAGAATCCCAGCACGCATCAGCTTCCCGGCACCCGCACTGCCTCACCCCCCCCCCCTGCAGGCACAGGCCCCACCACGTGCACACAGGAACGTGTACACGCCGGAATTGCAGGCGCTGGGGGCGGGGACAGGCGCAGCTCCTTCAGTGACCCTGAAGTGAGCAGCAGGTGAAATCTCACTAGGTGCCTCCAAAGGTGTGTTGAGAGGTTCGAGGCCCTCCGTGGTGCTTCCTCCTGGTCTCCTCTTCCTCATACTGAAACTCCCTGTGGCATTCTCTCCTGGCACTTTTGCTCACGACAAATTCTCTGTTTTCCTTCATCTGAGAATTTTTTGTTCTCTGCCTTTTTCCTGAAGGGCATTTTCTGCTGTATATAGAATTCTGCATTGCCCATTCTCCTTCCAGTGAGTTAAATATGCAGCCCTACTGCTCCCAGGCCTGTTTGCTGATCGTCAGTTCTTTCCTCTTAGTTTGCGTGTGGAATAAGTTCTTGGACACTTTGAACACTGTGTCGTGAAGCTTTGGATCTGGTTAAGTCTTATTGGAGAGTATTTTATGTATTGGTTTTTGTTTTTTTTCTAGCAGCTCATTGACCTGGGTGAAAAAGGTCCTGTTCAAATGCAACCAGTGGAATCCCTTTTCCTCCATTCTCCTATTGGGATTTGGGCACGCCCGCACATGTTCCCGGGTGATTTTCAATACACCAGGTTTGGAACTCGAACCCTGCTCCGCTGTGTGGGAATCCAGCACCTTTACCACCTTGCCACCTGCTGGCCCCTTGGGTGCAAGTCTTTGTGGTGGAGTTTTACTTGTGTTTTCCCTCCACCTTGGCTAGGGTTCACGCAGGCTCTGGAGCTACCTCCGCTGGCTAGAATTCTCACTTTCCTCCAGACGTGTCCATTCAGGATGACGGTGCATGCTGTGCTGTCTGCAGTCGGGTCTCTCCTGGGGTTCTGGCCGGCCCCCTTGTCTCTGTGTAGATTCTGGAGGCTGTAAGAAGGTATCTCACCTAAATGGCTTCCACCATCCCAAAGGGACCCAGAGGTCTGTGCTCTTGTTTTTGTTTTTTTAAGTGAGATTTTTGCTATAGGGCGTGAGTGCTCATCAGAGAGACACAGAGAGATAGAGAGAAAGTGAGAAATAACCCCCAGGGGGCATGGCCTTGCCACAATTCCTTCTCCATTCTCCCCTCGGGATTTTGGGCATGTACACACATGTGTCCTACATGAGTTTTTTTTTAAGAGAGATTTTTGCTATAGGCGCATACGCTCACCAGAAAGACAGAGACAGAAATAGAAAGCGAGAAATCACCCCCCTGGGGGATGGCCACGCCGCAATCCCTTCTCCATTCCTTTTGGGATCTTGGGCGGTTATGCACATGTGCCTGGCGTGAGTTTAAGCCACCGGGTCCGGGACTCGAACCGTGGCCGACTACATGGGAGTTCAGTGACAAAGCCATTATGCTAACTGCTGGTCCCCCCTATGTGAGTTTTAAGCTGCAGGTCTGGGACTTGAACTGTGGTTGACTAATGGGAGTTTAGCGACGTAACCATTCCACCACCTGCAGGTCCCTGTGCTCTTGCTTTATACCAAGATGGTACTTTCCACAGAGACTTGCTGTAAAGTGAGATGAAATAGTACTTGTTGAATTGCCGCTATAGTTCTTGACAAATTATTTGTTTTCAAGAGTTAAGTGTTTCGGGAACCAACAGTTAGCATAATGGCTATGTCGCTAGACTCCCATGTAGTCGAACGCGGTTTGCATCCTGGATCCGGTGGCTTAAAACTCACGCCGGGCGCGTGTGCGTGCGTGCATGCCCAAGATCCCGAGAGGAGAATGGAGGAGAAGGATTGCGGCGTGACCATCCCCCCTGGGGAGTGATTTCTCGCTTTCTGTCTCTATGTCTCTCTCTGTCTGGTGAGCGCACGTGCCCTGTGGTGAAGAAACCTCTCCAAAAAAAAAATTTCAAAAAAAAAAAGGAGTTAAGTGTTTTAATTTTTTTTTTTTTTATTTAGAGATTTTGTTATAGGGCACATGCATTCGCCAGAGAGAGCAAGCGACAGAGTCAGAAAGTGAGAAGTCACCTCCATGGTGGATGGCCATGCCACAGTCCCTTCTTTTCCATTTTCTTCTTGGGATTTGTGTACCTATGCACATGCACTCGGCTTGAGTTTGAAGCTGCCGGGTTTGGGACTTGAACTGAGGTCGGACATGTGGGAGTCCAGTGACATAACCATTCGCCATGTGCTGGTCCCATGTTTTTATTTTTTAAGGTAAATCATGCTCACAATGAGGAAGGGTGACTCGAGCAGTGTTATGGCTAGACTGCCACCATTGGAACTGGGAGGGCGCGTTGACCTTTATGAGTAATATGCTAAGGGTGGTTTGCTTTCCGAAAGTTTCAGCAGGGGGTAGCAGAGGCAGTGACCAAACAGGACGTGGCCTCGTTCCGGCACGTGGCTGCTCCGATGGCAAAGCAGGGCTAACACTGCTGCTCTCTGTGACAGATGACGGTGCAGAGGCATGTGCAGACCCTGCTCTGCCCAAGCTGTGTTCCTGGAGGGTCGCGCTCAGGTGGTGAGCTCTTCTTCCCCGAGCCCAGTGCAGAGAGCAGGCCTCGGCTGCGTTGGTCACCTGTCAAGCTGGCCACACAGCGATGGTCATCGTGAGGGCCACTGCAGTGCAGTAGCGCGCTTTGGCTCGTGGCGGGCTTTGGTAGTTGGTGGTAGCCTCCCCCTGAGCTGTTCTCCCAGAGAAAAGGTCACCACCTGTGCAGGGTCTCGGATGGCTGTTCGGGGCAGTGTAGGCGGAGGGAACGAGGACTGCGATTAGCAAGGGTAGGCCAGGCCCTGCCCTAGAGGTGTCCCACGTGCGTGCCGAGAACCACGGGCCTGTCTCAGCGCTCTGCTCCTGCCTTTGCCTAGGTACCAATTGGAAGACGATTCTGCCCACTTGGATGAAATGCCGCTGATGATGTCTGAGGAAGGCTTCGAGAACGACGAGAGTGACTACCACACGTTGCCGCGTGCAAGGATGACGCGGAGAAAGAGAGGGCTCCAGGGGCTGGTCTGTGGCGGGTGGAAGTCCGTCTGCGCCAGGTTTGTTCCCACCGCTTTCTTGCCGCCTACACCAGTTACTGGAAAGTTTCCCTGCTAGTGTGTATTAGACATGTAGGTAAAAGAGGCCACCCCACCCTGAGCGGTGTCATGGAGAATACCAACGGCATTAGGCAAAACCAGACTGTTCATCTGAAAAGAAGGAAAAGCCAAGTTCGTACTTCATGCCAAGTTTCAATGGCTGCAAGCTGCAGAAAATCAGTGATTCTGTAACGCGTGCATGACAGAATTAGTCCTGGCCACCGCATCGGCCTTTATGAACGATGTTCCTTTCTCAGCAGGTATGGCCTTACACAGTTGAACTTAATAGCACTGTTACTGTAGTATGCAGCTTCAATGCTTCCACTGGGGAATAACGTGCCCCTGTTAATTTAACCAGCAAGGTCCCGAGATAAGTCATATTTTAACAAGTTCCTCGGTGTCGAGGCCTGCTGGTGCTGAGGTGAGCTGGCCCCGTTTGCCGTTGGCTGGACTCTTGGCGGTGAGAGCACATTGTGCACCTGGGGTCTGCCGTGCCCCACAGGACAGGCAGGCAGGGATGGCAGCTGAAGGGCGCCTCACGACTCGGGCAGAGAATACCAGATAGATGACAGGGTGTACGTCCATTCTGCAGGTCACGGTTTATAGTCAGTGCATCGTTGCTGTTTCTAATTTGTATCCCTTTGTTCACAGAAGGAAGGAAAATATCTGTAGAAAAATGTCTTGTTCGTCATTCTTCTCGTTATCCCTTTAGAAGTTTGCAGAAAAGATGTTTTTATAACCCATTTGATTTTCTTGTGAAGCGGCATTTAAGCCGTGTTCTTTGTAGTCCTAGTATTTCTGAGGAGTCCCTCAGAAATTGCCAACTTAGAGAAAGGGGATGAGGCTGAACAAGATTTTGGTTTGTCATTCTCAGGCAGCTGTCAAAGTATAGCTATTTTTAGTTATTTCTTTAATTTTATTTATTATTTTGGAATTTGCTGTATGGCATGTGCACTCACCAGAGAGAGACACAGAGAGTAAGTTGTGAAAGCAAGCTGCCAAGTCCCACCATGTGGGAGTCCAGTGCCTTAACCACCACACCACATTCTAGCCTAAAGTGTAGCTCTTTATCCTTGTTATCTGTTGTAAACTTTCATACGAAGACAGAATTTGATGGCTAGATAATGTTTTCAAAATTGATGGCTTATGGTACTGATGAATAATAAGCAGTTTATTTACAAACATTTCTCAGGTTAAATAGCCAGTATTCCAGCCCTCTGTAACGTTATGTGTGAATACATGTTTCATTACAGAGTTAATTTCCTTCAAAGATACAGGATTGCAGATTTTTCTTCTTATGTTTTAGGATGGTTTGTGCTTTTCAAGTTATTTCTGTTTTCAAATTAATATTGTCCTAAATTATTCATAACTTCTTCCTGTGATCTAATGTTATCAGGTCTGTAGTGATGTCACCTTTTAACAATTCCTAATATGAGGGCCAGCAGGTAACATGGTGGTTAAGGCACTAGACTCCCACATGGTCGACTGCAGTTCAAGTCCCAGACCTGGTGGCATGCTTTCTGGCTTTTTCACTTTCTGTCTCTGTGTCTCTTTCTCTCTCTGTCTCTTTCTGGTAAGCATTCATACCTTATAGCAAATTAAAAAATAATAAATAGAAGTAAGTAATTCTGAGGAAAAGTTCCTGATACCAGTAATTTGTGTCTCTGTCATTATAAAACTTTATTTTTCAATCAGAGTAAGCGAGACACAGAGACAAAGACAAGTATCTCCACGTTGCGGGCTGCCTCCGCTCTCAGCCGGCCTAGGTCATCAGCACGTGTTCGCGTGTGTGTGCATGTGCACCAGGCACTGGCAAGGTCCCAGGGTGCAACCCAGATCTTTCTCGCGTGGGTCCAGTTGCATTGCCATGGTGCCAAGTTTGGCCTCTTCCATTAGTCTTGATAAGAACCATCCTTCAATGTTGTCACTTACCTGTTTTCTTTTAAACTTTTTTTTTTAAGAGAGATTTTTGTTACTATAGGGCATGTGTGTTCACTAGAGAGACAGAGACAGAGAGAAAGTGACAAATTATCCCCCCACCCTCCCTCCCCACCCCTGCCCAGGGAGGATCTCCACGCGGCAATCCCTTCTCTTCCATTCTCCTCTCGGGATTCTGTCACACTTGCACACGCGCCCAGGGTGAGTTTTCAGTACGCTGGGTCCAGGACTCAGCCACACGCTTAGCCGTGGTACCCTGTGCCTTATCCTCCCTGCCACCTGCTGTCTTAAGAACAGGGCGTTCTCTTACGGAACCATAGCGGCTATCAGACTCAGAAAGCTCAGTCTTGATGTGGTACTCCATAGTGATTTCAAGTCCATGTGTAGTATCGTCTTTGTCCCAGTAACGTCCTCTGTAGAGTATTCTCTCTCTCTTCCTCTTTTATAAAGTTCCCAGAGCGGGCACGCACTCACCAGAGACGGAGAGAAAAAGAGAGAGAAAGCACCCCCTGGATGGGTCACGGTCACGGTCATGCTGCAGTCGTCTGCCCTCCATTGCCACGCTGTCAGGACTGGGTATGCATGCACACGCGCCCAGCACGTGCTCCCCAGGCTGTGGGGCCAGAACCTGCAGCACACTTAGCCGCGTGGGACCTGCTCCCGGCGCACAGCCCTTAGCCCTGCCGTATGCCAGCCCTGCATGAGGTGGCATGTGTGTGCGTTGGGAGCGTGCCTGGGCTGCTTTTGGCTTGGTGACCAGCAGAACCTGTTGCATGGAATCGTCTGAACATTTTTGGCCAGAGAAAGGAGGCTATCTCAATTTGGGAAGTTAAATAATTATGGCTAATCAAAATTTTAGAAGACAGGTTCTTGATACATAAAAATGTTTTATTTATTATTAGAGTATTACTTTGATTGTAGAGCTACTTAGAAAAAGCTGCTCATCCTTAAATATTCTCAGAAAAGCACTAGGTCGTTGGAAAAGTCATGCCTTATTTTTTTCTATGCAGAAATGCGTCTTGACTTTTCCGGCGACCCAGTGTAGTGCTGTAACGGTGGGCCTACTTTAACGGGACCCAGTAGTGGGAGGCACGTCCTCGTACGCACACGGAGAGTGTCTTTCTGAGTGGCCAGTGATGTAGGGAGCATGTAGACCACGGCAGTGTTCCTGAGCAAGGCCTCGGTCGTCTTCCAGAGCGGCGCTTTGCTCTTCCCTTTGCTTTCTGTCTTTGCCAGTCTGCTTATTAAGTCTCATTACTTTGTCCTCAACATTTTCTCATAATTTATTTTCTTCCTTAGTTTTACAACTCAGTAAGGCTTGCACATAATTTATTTCCTCCCTAGAACTATTACTTTCTTTTCTTTATCTTTGGGGTTTATGCCCTTTACTCTCTGTGTTAAAATCAGTATTTTCTGTCTCTAACCCGTTGGCAATTCTGGTTGAGCTCTAGGCTTTTCACACCTCCAGCCCATTGTGAATGTATTTGTTCAGCTTCATGAAGTGCCACGTAACTCCCTAATCACAACCTGGTCCCATCTGTACACATCGACACCGACAGGGAGAACACTTATGTGTTGGTGGGTATTGGTAGCCCAGTGGTAGAGCAGTCACACCGGGGAAGTCTCAAACTCATGGAGTTATTTAGGGTTGTACAGAGCAGGTGAGTAAGAGGGTGACTGAGTGTTCTCAGCGTTGGTATTTTATTTGGTGACTCCATACGTTTTGGTCACATGACTGCCAGCCTGCAGCGGGTGCAGGTTTCCATTCAGCTGGGGTGCAGTGCCCGTGCTCAGAGCCCTGCTGGTTCTGCAGTCCTAGGCCTTGGTCTGTAGGAGGGCCAGACCTGGCAGCGGATGTGTACCGGGAGGCCCACTGTAGGGCCCACGAACCCAGACTTCACACATGGCGTGTCTGAGACTTGCATGCTTTCTCGCATTACGGCCTCCTGGTAGGCGAGCTTGAACTTCTGCGCTACCCTGGAAGGCTTTACTTCTCCAGAAAAGCTGGAGAGCGCCATGCCCCTGCCGTGCTTGGGTCCCTGCAGCAGCCGCTCCTGGTGTGCTTGGGAGACACCACTGTGGCTCAGTGGCTCTCACTGTGACCATGTGAGCATCATCGACCAGGTGGCCCAGGATGGTCACCCCTCACCACGGTGGCAGTCTCACCCTTCAGTTTGGCTGGGGCACTGAGGAACTGGGTTTTTGATTTTTCTTGATCTTAACTCTTTCAAATGCACGTAGCCACAGGCAGCCAGTGGGGCCATGTCAGCCTGCGTGTCCGCATGCCTCGGGGAGGGTGTGGCTGAAGGCCTTGCTCTGAGCGTGTGTGGGGAGGTGGCTGGGCTGTCACAACTGCAACGGGTGGCTGGCTCTTGGTATAAATAGGGAGGATACACAGGTGCAATCCGAGGCAGCTCCCCAGCGCCACCTGCTGGCGCTGTTTCTGAAGATGCGCCCTGAGGCTGGGGGCTCCCGCTGAGCTTGGCGGGCCTGCTCACAGTGGTCCTTGCTGACTCGCTTGTCCTGTCCCTGGTGAGCCAGCGCAGCCTTTGAGCCAGCAGCTTGACCACGGCTTGGGGGGCAATATGCACCGACCTGAGGCCAACTCCTGGGCTCTGGCTTCAGTTCTGCCTTGCTAGTGGGTTAGTCTTGGAGCGGTCACTCCCTGTGACCTCTCTGGGTTTCTCACTGAGCACATGGGAGTTGAGCACCTCGACTGTAGTGGCAGATATCTGAGGCAGGTCAGCTCTGAAGTTCGAGGAAGTTCTCTCATAGCCTTTGTATCGCAAGTGTAGGGTTTTTTTTAAATCATTCTGAGCTGACTGGAGGCCTGGGAGCATGTGACAGCAGGGAACTAGGGGAGGAGCCAGAGGGGGCTGGGTGTCCTACACAGGCAGCAGGAAGCTGCCAGGGAGTCACTGCAAGCTTCTATTTAATTGGAGCCATATTTAATTTTAGTTTTAGTTAACCATAATTAAGAGAAAATATTATCCACCACTTACTGGAATCTGTTGGGTCATGGGGAGTGTCATGACATGTCTTTGCATGGGAAAACACATCACGACTTTGACGATGACGTAACCCTCGCGCAGTCCCCTTCCCTCCCTCCAGGAAGCAGTGGGGTGGCAGCACTTGGGCTACTGCAGCCGCCTTAGCGACCCCTGATGTAGAACTCCTGGGTGCTGGCCAGTTGCTTTAGATGTGGAGATGTTCAGTTTTGGTTGAGAGTGAGGCTGGGCAGCCCTGAGAACTTTCCTGCTGGCAGAGTTGGTTTTTTCTTTGCTCCAGTGAAGTTGAGGCTGGCATTGACCAGCTTGGCTATCCTCTGGGACAGCTGCTCCAGGTCGCAGCACTGGGTCCATCTGCAGGTGCGTGGCCAGTGTCCACGCTGTGAGCCATAAGCCGTGTCCGAAGAGCCAGCCTCCTCCCCCAGATAGGAGCTTTCCTGAGCATAGCAAGACCAGGGTGGCGGTTC